ATGTGGGTTGTGTTTGTGCAGTACGACAAGAGAGCAGAACAAACGAATTCTTGTTGCCATGACTACAAAGAGAAGAGTTAGTCAGTCGCTTCGTGGTGTTCGGCGAAAACAGTCGATAATAAAATTCCTACATTACTGTATATTTTAAAATATTTATAATAATTAATTTTTATCCAATATAATAATAAAATTCCTACATTTTGGGGGCTCGCCCGAGGTAAAATAAAAACTGTAGTGATAAAAAACTGTGTTAAAACAAACTATATTGGATCAAGCTGGTGTGAAAAAGTTATAAGTGTTTGCATGAAATGGCGTCGCTGGGCAGAATCGACTCGCTACGGCATGTTCTGTCTAAAGGTAGAAGGGAGAGTATTGCACTATTACACAAATTTGTTTTTCAATTTGGAGGCGATAGAAATAACAGGCAACGGCTCAGGGATTTTGTAGGCTTTGACTTTAGCCAAGATGACGAGGGTTTTAAGTCATTGCAGGAGTACGTTACTGCAAATTTCGAAAGCAGCGAATTAGTTACAATATGCAACATTTTGGGAATTGACTACAAGGCTGATGACTTGTTCGTGCACATATTCAACAATTTAAGTAAAGGCGGTTTACTATGTTCCGTTAATGCAGTTGACGACACTGACGACGAAAGCGATGATGATTTTGATGATAATGAAGACGATCATCGAAATGACACTGTCGTTCAACGCAACGAAGAGAGAGATGAAGCAAATAGTGGAACAAGCGACAATGACCAATACAATGAAGCCGAAGGCGAATTAGAGAGTGAAATTCGATGCGACAAACAATACGGCAAAAGCGACGACGGAGTAAACAGAGAAACAGGTAAAGTGAAACAAAGAAGTATGACATCACAAAACAAAACTATTAAAAGCAACAACGAGTTACGACAAAGACAACAGCGTAAACAAAATTCAGTAAAGAATTTTACAGTAGCGGCCGAAAATATAGTTACACCAAAATTTGTGTTAAATTTTCGTGATGTTGAGGATTCAATAAGACCATTTAGTGGAGATGACTTGTTATCAATTGATGTTTGGCTAAATGAATTTGAAGATATTTCCGTAATGATGCAATGGGATGATTTACAAAAGTTTATCTTTGCAAAAAAATCAATAAAAGGATTAGCGCGAACATACCTAATGAGTGAACGAGGTATAAATAATTGGTTTAAGCTAAAAAATGCTCTGATAAACGAATTCAAAGAATCGACAAATAGTGCTGAACTACATAAACTAATGTGCAGTAGAAAAATTAAGAAAAATGAGAGTTGTCAAGAATATTTTCTCAATATGAAAGAGCTAGCGTCACGTGGTAATATAGAAGAAGAAGCTCTAATGCAATATGTGATTGAAGGCATTAATAAATTAAATATAAATAAAATTATTTTATATGCCGCGAAAAACCTACGAGAGTTTAAAGAAAAACTAAAATGCTATGAATCGATAAGTGGAAAAGATCGTGCGGTTAACCTGAAAGTTAATAAAAAACCTGCCGAACAACAAGGAAAAGAAGCCAAAAATATTTTATGTTATAATTGTGGCATGAAAGGCCATGTGTCCTCAAATTGCAGTAATAAAAGCAAAGGTATGAAATGTTTCAAATGCAGTGATTATGGTCATATCGCTAAGCATTGCACAATTAAACAAAACGAAAATGCACCAAATGCAAATACACGAGTTTTGTCTATTAAAGATGATAGCATGGTGAAAGAAATTAAAATAAACAATTTAAAGTGTCGAGCTTTATTTGACACAGGTAGTAAGTGTCATATAATAACGAAACGGATGCATATACGTTTAAAAGAACCAAAACACCGCGAATCAAAAAATATCCTTGGTTGGATTTGGAAAAAGGACAAGTAAAAGTAAAATAAAACCCCTTGGTCAATGTGATTTAAATGTCTTAATTGATGGCGAAGACTATGAAATGAATTTTCAAATAGTACAATCAGAGTGTGTGGACGTAGATGTGGTAATTGGTGAACCTTTGAGG